TCTTTCTCAATCTCTGCACACCGACCGCACGCTCGCAAGTTAGCTGATCCCCTCCAAAGACTACTTGTTCTTTTGCCTTTCCTTTGTGGATATATTGATGCATAAACTCGAGAATATCTACCATACCTTCACTACATGCTTCATTTGCAAACACCTTCATTTGCAAACATTTGCTTTTCTTGCTCATTTGCTCACTGTATGTGTGTCTAATGTGCTTTGGGACATATTTCTGAAATGGTTTCAGGAAATTCAATTTACCAATTACATTGTGCAATAACAGGATAGCAAAATTACTTCTAAAATTGCTGATGTCATCAGCTGATAGCAAGAAGGATGTAAGAGGTAATTTTGCCAATTTGCAGATGGGCTTATCATCAGGTAATTCATCATATGGAATTCTGTCTTTCACTGCCAATGTTAAAAACCAATGACAATCCTTATTTTGGTTTGTACCCCTTTGATCTCTAGGCTATATTAAAAAAAGAAAAAATATTTTATTTAAGTAAATGTAACCTACCACATGGGGCGTGGCACACTAGGCAAGCTCAGCATGATGAACATTCAGGGTTTTTGACATTTCAAAGGTTTTTAGAAGCGTGGTACTGTGATGGTTGATCTGTAATTGGAAAAACAGGTATTTTTTATATTCTTATACTTACAGTTATTCTCATATCAATGTTGTCACCCAAAAACTTCACTTGACCTGGATTTGTTTCAAACCACTGTCTTACCATACTGTCATGGTTTTCACCAAGCTTTGCCACAAATGTTTGTGTGGTATCATAAGACATACATAGCTTCAGGTGATTCAGTCTGTTATACCCCTGTTAGTCAAAACAATCCCAAGCATAAGTTGTAGGATTATATTTCTAATTTTTGCCAAGTTTTAAGTTCGCTCAATTTTATTTCGTACAGCCTAAATGTTCTTGAAACGGAATCAGATTAAATAGAATTTTAGTTGATTACTAAGTATTTCAAGAACGATCTTTCTTGAACTCGACAAAATTCCAAGAAAAAACCCCATTTGCATGTGTTTTGTGCATGTAGTTCACCCGGTAAGTTCACTTACAGATAATTTTTGGCGGGAATTACTGCGCTGTTATTTTTTATTTTGTTTAAACAACAATTTTTAAAAAAAATGTTTTCATACGTATCTTGGAGCACTGATATTCAAAATAGATAAATCCTATGATTTTATGTTCAAGAAAATTCGAAAAAGCAAGCTGTTTTGACAAAAATAGCACGTAATGTTAAAGGATGTTGGACTGTATAAATGATTAGGGAAAACAAAATGTCAATGTGTATCACGTAATATTTACCATTTTTGTCATGCCTCCCTTGAGAAGTAGCAAAGAAACCACGTATTGGGCAGCACTCATGTTCTTGTTTCTTGCCTTCATCAGCAAAGAAATAGCCATGCCTGCAGCAATCAGCTTCCTTTCTCTGGATTTATTTGTATTCCTTTCCGCACTTTTTAGATTAATAATAGCCAGTACAATTTGATACAACGTATTTGTTTTCTCATTTACTTCGTCCATCAACTTCAGGAAACTAAAATTGCAAATGTCGTTAACATCTTTCTTACGAAACAAAGTTGTATTGTCCGTTCCCGCAGAGCACATAGCTGCGCATTCTTCCTTCACTAAATTTACAGTCTTCTCCACACATAACTTCTTCCCGCAATCTGTATTAACAACTGTATGGACAACATTGGTATCATCATTTTTCATGAGAGAATGGCAAAGACTGTTCCACTTTTTGTTAACAAGAACAGATTGTTGCCCTCTCGCTGAATGGCATGTTAGCTGGTAAATAACATCGTCGGTGTTGTTTTCACTTTCGGTGAAAGGTGGAATGAATGGTAATGAGTGTGTAGAAATTGGAAGTGAAACTGTAGTAAATGTTTGACAGGGTGAGGAAAGATATGTCGTCGTGCTCACACTTGATGTCGTGTTTGCTGCATTAGAATGGGATGGCTAAATGAACATGATAACAAACATTTAGATAATTACACCCTCGAAGTCATATAAAGAAACACAAGATGATGAAACTACACAGTAAATACGTTCGGTTATCTCCTCTACAATGTATACTACTTCTTCATATTTTTGGTTTAATGGCGTGAATTGTCTGTAATAAGTTTATGGATTATTCGTCCTAATTTTGTGTTAAAATATTAGTGCAAACATTACAATAATTAACACACCCAAGGCTGCAAGACCAGGAGTAAAGCACTTTATGACGACCACATTATATTTATATAAAATTAAAGTGTTTGCAGTAAAAGAAAGCTTGTCTATTTTTGCGTATCAAATAGAAATTTATTTAATTACCCTATCTTTTGTCACAATACAATATTTGTCACAATAACTCTTATTTGTTACAGCGATGCAAAATTGCAATTATCGTACGTGTAATTTGACAAGTTTAACTTTCTAGCTATAACAAATAAAGTATTTTTAAACAGTCTCACTCGGACAATATTGGGATATCATACCAGCAATATTTAGTAAACACCGATTTCAGTTAGTATATACATAGTTGCATATTTCTTCGGCAAAAGACTGGTCTTTTTATAATAAAATTTAAATAATGTCGTCGTACCTGTGCTTTGTCGTTGGAAAACTGCAATGATCTGGCTGAAAATCTACAATTTCTTTCGTTAGGTCTCGATGTTTTCGATGGTGGAGATCTAATCGAATTTGGCGAGGATGGTATTGTTTTTCTTTTCCCTCGAGGACTAATATTTTCCTTATAACTTTTAATTTTCTCGACGGCCCTATTCGCATTATTTCGGCAATTTCGACAACAATGGCGAGACAATCCAGGCTTGTCTCGTCTAATAGACAAACCATATGCCTTGAAAAACAGCATCGCTGTTGATGTATAATCATTTTCTGCATTGTAAAGTACATATCTCCTAGCGGGCGGACAGACTCCATTGCATATTCGACATCGAACTTCACCTGACATTTTTTATTTCTCTGAGTTGTTTACGTTTTGCGCGCGCGTTTAACAGGTGTAAGGGTTTTCCCTTCTCCCGGAAGTCAATCGCAACCGTTTTGATTGGACAAGTTGACGCATGCGCATGCAAATTCTTCTGGACCCTCCTTCTCCGCCGCGCCGTGTGGCGAGAATAGGGTCTGGGACTGGACTAAATTGTGACATGTTTCACAATAACAAGTTTCATTGACCTTTGACTTTTCCCAGTGTGACGTGTGTCTATTTTCAGCTTTTCGCATGTGTTGAATATAAATATCACTTTAGATTTCAATAGTTTCACAGTTATAGCAGTGTTTAAAACATTTTGGCAAGCTTTGATACAATTCTGTGTACAGAATACTACAGATTGATTCTCGTAAGATCTTGTAGAGTTATCGTTGACGTTGCACTGAACACGAGTTTGCACCGTTGACAACGGCGTTGTGCTAGACACTAGACAGTGAACAAAGACAAGGTCCGTGAATGTACACGTTGGCTACATGTACCTCCTTGCTTTTTTCTTCTATTGCATAAAGCTTGTTGGCGAGCCAATTAAGCGATTAGCGATAACGCGTTGGCGATAACACCTAAACACGTTGGCTATCTCCTCGTCTTTCTTATTTATACAAGGAGCTCTGACTCAACTGATTCCTTTAGTCTCGTAAGTTTTTTTCTTCGTAAACGCCGTACAAACGTTTACCCGCTTCTGTTTAATAGTTGTTTATGCTTTATTGATCTGATACAAATCTGATGCAATTTTTCGCTCTTTGTACTGAGTATAGCCGTCTATTCTGTGATGTAGCACCTTATGCAGTCAATGAGAATGTATAATATAACATCAATTTATATATTGTATTACTATTATTGCGTAGAATCTCAAAGATTTTCTCAATATTCATGTCTGAAATGTTTATATACTTGAAAACAACACTGTCTCGCTTCTGCCTGCACGTACTGTACCTCTGTATGAGTATGCCGTGAAAAAATAATGTCGGCACTGGATGGAATGCCTAGAAGCAAGATTTTCGACTCAATATTTACGTCTGAAATGTTTATACACTTAACTGCACTGTCTAGGCGGTCTAGCTCCTTCCTAGCTCTGTATAATGAATATACCGTCTAAATATTATCGGCACTTATTCAATTGAACGCCCGTAATGCATAAGATCAATTTATATATTGTGTAGATTTTCAAAGATTTACTCAATATTCACGTCTGAAATCTGTATATACTTGAAAACAACATTGTCTCGCTTCTGCCTACGTACTGTACCTCCGTATAATGAGAATACCGTGAAAATAATATCGGCACTCAAATGAATGCCTAGAATCAAGATGTTCGACTCAATATTTACGTCTGAAATGTTTACACACTTGACTGCACTGTCTAGGCGGTCTAGCTCCTTCCTAGCTCTGTATAATGAATATACCGTCTAAATATTATCGGCACTCAATTGAACGCCCGTAATGCATAAGATCAATTTATATATTGCGTAGATTTTCAAAGATTTACTCAATATTCACGTCTGAAATCTTTATACATCTCAAAACAACACTGTCACCCCTTCCTAGCATATCGTCACGCCATCGTGATCTACGGCTTGATAGAGCATGCGCATTTGCGCTACTAAAGAAAAATCGGGTGTTCCGGGGTAAAGATCCTTTACAATACATGAGAAGCGAATGTTCTAAAATTTCCAAAATATTACAATAACAAAAGCGATTCCTCGAAATTTTTGTGAACTTGGAAAAGGATAACAGAATACGTAAATAAGTTAACTGAAATTGCTTAAATAACCTTCAAAGTACTGACAAAGCACAATAAATCACTACGAACATAAATCGTATACACCCCCCGGAAAGTTTACTGTATGACTGACTGATAAGTTTGAATTTTCCCCCAGTCATCACAATACTGTGAAGTTTCGAAGAAACTTCACACTAAAAACGGTAGCCAGGAGGACCTCAGTCTAGTTGTCTTTGAAATGGCCAAGGTTTACTCAAGTATTACTATTTTATATACAGTTCTTGCAACTCTGACCTTGTATTGCTGTCTTTGTCACGCCATAATATGTTCTCTTTGCCAGCCAAAGTAAAAAAAAACTTATATTACGCATATAAATGTAACAACCTAATGTAAATGACCTATCAACCTAACAATCTCGTATTAAATAACAAAACTGATGAGTTTAACGTCCGCCCTGTATCATCTTATGAAATACGTAAGATCGTGAATTCATTTCCATCATATAAGGCACCAGGCGTGGACAAAGTTTCTGTCTCTGTTATAAAGGATGCTCTACCTATAGTTCTTCCAACCCCAACCGAGATTGTAAACCGTTCCTTATTAACTGCGGCGTTTCCATTAGCTTGGAAGAAATCGGTGGCTATAAAGGAGGGAGATTACGAAATACCTAACAATAACCGTCCCGTGTCCCTGCTTACTGTGGCCTCTAAGATCTGTGAACGGGCTGCACTCAATCAATTGATGGAATATATGTCTCAGAAAGGGTGTCTCACCGAACATCAAAGTGGAAACAAAAAGATGCATTCAACAGACACTCTTAATATACTTGTTTCGGATATGATTCTTGATGCCATGAACAGGAACGAATTGACTGCAGTTGTGTTATTAGACTTGTCGAAAGCGTTCGATAGCATTGAACATTCGTTGCTATTCAAAAAAACTGCATTCGATGGGCGTGTCTAGGAAAGCTGTGGATTGGTTTAAGAGTTACCTCTCAGACAGAACTCAGTCTGTGAGGATTGGTCATATACTGTTAGAAGCTCGTGCGATAACACACGGTGTGCCTCAAGGGTCAATACTTGGTCCAGCGTTGTTTAGTATTTATATAAACGATCTTCCAACTACTCACATTGTAGGTCCTTTAGAATCGTATGTAGATGACTCTAAGATTTACTTGTCATTCTCATACACAGACACTAATGTTGCTGAGATTCAGCTTACAGACGATCTAAGGAGAATCGCTGCCTGGTGTTGCTCAAATAGCCTACTTGCCAATCCCGAAAAGACTAAACTTGTTCTGTTTGGTACAACACAAATGCTCAATCATGCGCAAGACTTTCGAATGACTTTCCTTGAAAAGGAACTACGACCGGTATCTTCAGCCCGAGATTTAGGAATGGAATTTGATGAATGCCTGAGCTATGATGAGCATATTACCCACGTGGTCTCAAAATGTACAAAGTCTCTTTGCCAGATTAATCGAGTTGAACATATTTTAGACAGCCGCACCTTGATTGTGATCATAAACGCCTTGGTCTTCAGCAAACTTTATTATTGTTCATCTGTGTGGGCAAATACGTCTAAGAAAAATATTGCCAAACTACAAACTGTGCAGAATTTTGCTGCACGAATTGTCACAGGCACGAGGAAGTATGACCATATTACACCCGTACTACAACAACTAAACTGGCTACCTGTTTCTTATATGCTGCAATATAAAGATACTGTTATGGTTTATAAGTGTCTTAAAGGATTAGCACCACCATACCTTGCAAGAAGATTCACATCTAGATCCCAGACACATGGTCGGGCGACAAGTCAAATGGATGAGTTGGATATCCCACTTTATCGGACAGCTGCTGGTCAGCGCTCTTTTTTATATACAGCAACCAAATTATGGAATGATTTAGACAATAACATTAAAGATAGTTCAAGTATTGGAGTTTTTAAAAAACTAGTAAGAGAGATACTGCATAAAGAGTGCTGGAACAACTCAAAATAATTTTATATTTTAGAATATTATCAATAATTGATTTATTATACCCATAAACAAATGTATATTTTGATATATTAGTATATAGCTATGTCTTCTAGTAAACTCATGTAAATACGTATTTAATTTTCGTTTTACGATTGTAATTATTTCTGAAAAGCCATTTTGGAGAAATAAATTAATAATAATAATAATCTCCAAATTTATCATTTTTGGCTTTGAATCCAACGCCACACGAGAAGCAGTTTAAAACGTCTTTACAAGTCCAACACCAATTTGGTGTTCCAGTTTTGATTATCCCAAGCGCAGACGTCTTGGGTACGAGGTTGGAAACAACTTAGGGAAGAGTATATACGAATTCTTTGAAAATGACTAAGTTGTCTCAGTTACGTGAGTGTCCAGGATTGCCTGAATACATAGAAATTCTGCTTCCGTGGAATATAGAAAAAGCCTCACATTTTTGCAATGAGGCCGGAATAATCATCCATGTACAGAACTAAACGCCACATGCACGGCCTCTACTTACGTCAGTCTGTTAAAGTTTACCGATATTACTGTAACTAGCATTATACTCAGGGATGGATTTGCTAGGTGTGCCAGAGGGGGTGCAGGGAGGGGTGCTATTTTTCATGATAAAGCACAAAATGAGACAGAGTACATTTGCACCACATGGAGGTTGTTTTGCCAAATTGTCAGAATACTGCTGTAAAATTGCTGTATGTTGATGGGCGGGCTGCACACATGACCGACACAACTCGAGTCACTCGATACCAGAGCTGGCAGATCACCCACCCACCAACCCCTACCAGATCATACTGGATCCATCCCTGATTATACTTATGATTGCAGGTGATGGCAAGGTATGGTCTAACTTTGAATGCGAAGCGAATTCTATATATCATTATATGATCCTAAATATGTTTCCACTTTCGACGTATTACCTAATTTGCATTATACATCATGTTTCTTAATAAATAATGTTATCATACTTACTTGCAAGTAAGAATATTTCCTGTCATGTTGCTAGATAGGAGTGTTGCCTTTGTTTCCTTAAAATAACAGATATTATATATGAACGCCTGAGTAAACTTTTATACAGAAACAATAATTACATCACACTGATCGATTTAATAATTAGAATTTTCCCGAATTTGCTGGGTGGCAATTGAAAACTACTTTTATTGCAATGGTTTACATTGTCCGCCTCGATTTCAAAACGTACGTTGTTTCGTGCGCACTCATAGAAATGCTGGAAGTGTCGGCTATTAAACTACTATATTCGAACACCAACGCGGGGAACGTTAATTCGAGGTGTCCACTGGATAGGTGATTGAGGTCCGACTGTTGCCCAATAAGTTATAATTTTAACCATCTGTAGATTTACAGACTACAAAGTTGATGTAGAAATTCAAATGTGCATAAAACTAGCATGTACATAAAATATTATGCAACCCTAGACAAGAGAATTTGTTATATACTTACACTACTTGGATCAGGCCGTTCTTTCTTTGGCATATTGTAATGACGAAGTACAACCTTACTCCCATAGGTTTCACACGCTAATGATTCTCCACCAGCCTAAATAAAAATAGAAACCGTTAGTTTAACAGTGTGGTCACGTGTTCGCGTTCTCACTGCTATAGTTTCTATAACGTCCACCTCGATGATTTTCCAATAACAATTACCATCGATCCCTTGTTTGGGTTAAATCCAACAGCAATCCACTGATATTTGCTGGAACTTAGTTCAAACATGACATCTTGTCCAGATACAGAATACTTGAGAAGATATTCACAGTCCTGAGATGATGAACAGCTTGCCGGTCTGCTATAACAAGTTTTAGCTTTGCCACAATCATCTTTGTCCAACATCTAAAATTACGGAGTGTATTACGCAAGGTCTACAATCTTCCACAACCTCCCCCCGCCTCCCTTATTTCAATGTTGCTTTGTGCTGTAATATTGATTTCAATGTTGCTTTGTGCTGTAATATTGTCCCCCAGCCAATGGTGCGAAGCGCAAGCCCGGGGCAAGGTATTTAGGGGCAAGGGTACTAATTCCACTCATTCTCGTTCCCAGAGCCATTTTCACTCGGTTAGTCGTTGAAAATTTGGCTCTGGATTAGACGACTAAAGGGAGAAATCTGATTGGCTTCTCAGAGAACTGCTATTTCCCAGAAGTTGAGCAGTTTTTGCTAGCCAAAATGATTTCATCAAAATATGTCAACACAAATACTTCGTTTCTTCGTATACTTAATCTCTGTTCTTCTCTGCTCTTCAAGTTCATTGACACATTTGTACATCATACTATCTGTTTAAGTAATAATTGTTCATTTACTGGGAGCCAGTTGAGTTCACGTAAGCCTGGAGAAATATGGTCGAACTTTCCCATATTTGTTATTATCCCATATTTAACAGTTATTCTACGAACTCGAGTCGAATATGAGCTGATAGCCGATGAGGCGCGTAGCGCCGAATCGGCTATCGCTCATATTCGACGAGAGTGAGTGGAATAACTGTTTTATTATATACACAAGGTCTGAATTTACAGACTTTGCTTTTCTGTTATTTTCAATATTTTTCTATTTTGTTTATGTTTTTATCTTCGCTCTTTCGGCCGATTATTTTTTCAAAAATATATATTTTTAACCATTTTATATTTTAAAAATTCATTTGCTAACCTGTAAACAATTTGTGGGAGTTTTTTCATTGTGTTTTTAATCCTGAAAGGGCTATAAAAAGCGAGCAACTTGCCGTTTTCTCGTTCGCAAAACATTGGAAATTCAATTTTAGCCGCCATTTTGTTTTTCTCTACTAGCAGGATATGAGCTAATATCCTGCTAGTAGAAAACCAATCAGATTGCAGAATACCTCATATCCAGACCTTGTGTATATAATAATTGTTATTATACTAATTGTAATTTTTTAATTTTGGTGGACGAAGTGTTTGACCAAACCGTTGAACAATAAAACGAAAGTTTTTTTACTCGGTTTATTTGGCACAGGAAATTCATACATGAGGAAGCCAGGTGGGTGATATGCTGGTCATATGTCAAATAAAAGTCGAGTGTCATTCCTAGATTTTTGGCAAAAGGAACAGGGATAATAGTCTCGTTGAGGAAATTTATGGACATATCTTCGGTAAGTTGTTGTAGGTTTTGCCGTGTACCAGTCAGTATGTATTTGGTCTTTCCCGGGGTATTAAGGCAACATGCACAATTTGCTGAATAAGCAACGTTGGGGCTTCTCCAAGAGTTGTAAAATGGTTTGAGAGTTACCACACAGGAAGAACACAAACAGTCAGGATTAGATCAACTGTTTCTACTCCTCACCCTGTTTGTTATGGTTACCATAGAGCCCCTCCCAGGGGTTTTAGGGAACATGGGAACATGGGCGTTTATTTTCAAGGAGCAGGGGATATCGTCCAAATATATTCTGGGAACAAGGGAACTCTTTCATAGATTGTTGGGAACAAGGGAGCATCATTTTCCCAATGTCAACGTTGTTTTCGACCTACATAAAATCTAATTACGATTATTCGTGCATATTTTTCGCAGTGCTGTTCCCCCAAAGATCCCCAACAGTTACTGGAGGACAAGTTGACGCTCCAGTAATATAGTATAGATCAGTATAAATCATAGCCTGTTTGCAGGCTAAAAAGTCAGGTTTTTAAAATTAAAGGTCATAAAATTCAAGATGGCGGCAAAAAGTAATGAAGATGTCGAGGATGTTAATACAACTCGACAATCTATGAC